GCTCCTCGTGAACTCTAGATATCGTCCGTTCCCTCGAAAGCGAAAAATCCAAGAACGAACGGTCCCTAAGGTCGATTATCCTCGGGCCCTCGCTACGAGAACGGCCCCGCAGAAAATGGACACCGCACCAGTGCGGCAGAGAGACGGAGAGAGAGCGAAATAAAAGGCCACGCAACTGTTCGACGCGAGGACGAGCACGGTTGTACATAAATCTCGAGAGGGCGAGGAAGCACGGTTATTAAGGAGCGAGAGAAAGACCCGGTGCACGAGCCGCCTCGGGAGGACCGGGTTAAGGTCCCGGGCGCACGTTTCGTCCGTCCTGTCATCGACGGGCTTCAGTGGGAATCGCGTCTGGAATTATCGACGCGGCGTGACAACGACGATCGTAGCCACGACGGCGACGTATTCGCCATCGAGGAGGCACGGATATGCCTCGCTCCTCGCCGCTGTGACACGCGCCGCGCCGTGTGCTGGCTGAACCTCCCGGAAGAGAGCGTGGGCCTTCGTCTCAAAATACAACTGTGTGTGCGGTTTGCGCCGCACGCTCGAGAGCCAAGTAAGTGAAATAAAAAGCACGCAATATTCCGTTTTGACCTCTGGGATATGGTCGGTGTTTCGCGCGGTCGTACGGGAAAAAAGGTGCGATTACTGGAGCGTATAAACAGAGAGGAAAAATGATCCGTTATTTCGAGCGCAACACCGATTTGGTGCGTCGAAAGTGGCTGGCATCTCGCGCGATCAATCGCACGCGAAAGCGTGCACCGGTTCTAGCTTTCGTGACCGTGCCGGTAGCACGCCTAACTAGGGATACTCTAGTCCCGGCTTGGCTCTTTAAACGGCTCTACGTATTGCGTGCGAATCGTAACGTTCGTCGTGTGTGCGTGTGTGTGCGAGAGAGTGTGCGTGCGCGCGCTCCCTCGTTGTCCGCTCGCTCGTTTGCTCTCGTATGCATGGCCGCTCCGGTGCGTAGCGTGCGGATTGCGCGAGTACGCATTGTCGCGTTCGATACGATCGTAATTCGTCGGTTACTTAATCGTGATCGGGTGGTCAGAGAGGTACGCGAATAAAGAAACCACACTGTACACCTTCGATCGACGTTAACAGCTGATCGCGGCGGCTCTATGTATGTGTGGAACGGACTGCCTTATGTATACGGCTTTTTCTACACTTTGTTGTTGATAAGAGAAAGAGAAGAATTCGGTCTCTCCGTCGATAGACGTTACGACCTGTGCCGGTTTCCACCAGCGGAAGAACACAAAAAAGGGGGGACTCTAAGGGTGCGTTTAGATTAAACGAGATCAACCGGACCAGGATGTTCGTTCGGGCTCATTTTAGTGCGAACCGGCTGAATCCGAGCGAATGTTTGCCGAGTTTTAAATGAACGGTACGGTAAATTCGATCGTGTCGAATTGAATTGCGTTCAATTGAAATGCGTCCAGTCAAATTTTATCGGAGTGAGTCATGTCGAAACGGTGCTGATTTCAAACTCCGCGAATCAAATTATGTCGAATAGAAACGCATCCAGTAAAATTACTTCAAATTGAATCGCGTCGGATCAAATTTGTGGCGAATTGTGCAGAATTAAATCGCGTCACGTGCATCACGTCAAATTTAAAATGTCTCTATTTTACCACTAATTGAATCATTTAGAATCGCTCGAAATTGATTCAGGTTGAATTGTTTAAAATATTGAGTCACAATTTAATTTTTTAGAATCATGTCAAATTGAATCACTCGAAACTAACCTGTATCGAATTGAATTAGAATTGAGTCCCATCGAGTCGATTCGCGTTAAATTGAATTGTATAGATTTAAATAATATCGAATTGTATTAATGAACAATCTTCTAAGAGCATTCGCTTACGAGCATGGAAAGAATGCTCGCCCGGCCAGCCTCGAGCGCGAACGAGCATTCGCTCGCCGAGTCTGAACGCACCCTAAAGTTCATCGCTCACATCTGGGGCCTGAAGCCTCGTGCACACGATGTTCCGGTTTATTTGTACAAAATCCATCGGACCTAGTGTTATTTCCTGTCTCTCGCAAATACTCGATGAATTATGAAAATCTAACGAACGAAGAGACAGTCTCTTTAAAGAACATATTCGTGTTTTAAAGAGCACCGTCGACCAATCGATGGCGACCGCTAGTTCTCTACAAGCAGTGCCGTCGACGCCAGTTACACTAGTCCGGTTTTATCTTCGAGATAATATCCTACCAATCAATGCCTCCGCATCGTGCATTGCTCCCAACCTTCGAATGCGCTCTACAGTGCTATTGGCCTCGCGATCGCGTACGTTGCGCACCCGGCCAAACAAGTGAAAACGGGAGAACCACGCGCAGTTGAACCGGGAGTTTGCTTCTAAAACTGCTTACAACGCAAGGCTGCTGTAACACGACGATCCTGCGGCATGCCTCTTTAAAACCACACCCGGAACGCTGCCTCGTGTTCCCGAGACGCTTGCTCTTTTTTTCGAAAATTCTCGTACACGGCCGCACCGTGGGTCTCTCCTGTTCAGGCGCGTAACCAGTCTTTTGAAAACGGGGACCTTAGGATGAATATTCTGCTATTTTTCGCGGCAATTTCGTTTACTGACCGAGAAAGATAAATGTCGTACCGTGAGTTTGATTCGAAAGAATTTTTCAACGATATATTACGATACATAACATACAACTTATTAGTGCAGTCAAATCAATTGCATACTTTTTAATTGTGATAATTTGTTTGTCTTGGAATTTCAATTGTACACTTTGAAGAAAGTATTTCAGTACACAAGGTGCAGAGATTTATTGGCCCGCTTATCTTTGCTTTTGAAACGATAAGGAACTTTTAATTTTATTAAAATTTGCGAAGGAAATAAAATGGATAATTATTTTTTTGCTTCGCTATCTTTTTAGGGTTATTCGCTATTGCGGTACGACATGGAAATCGACCTGTAATTTTCAACAGATGTTCTGTTCTTGCGGAATTGTCACTTTGCCGTTTGGTCGAGACCACTTCCGGTTTCGTTATTCAATAGAATGATTACTATACGTTGTTGTTTCAAATACTTTTATTTATCCTTATCGGCTTTTTTAACTGAAATTAGGTCACAATTTATGCAACCAAGTATGATAAATTGAACGACTATTTACAAATTAAAATAACTATGCGAATAATAATTATTTATACAGTTGTTTTGTTGGATTAACTTTGTATAAAAGTTAAAATTTGAAATTCTATAACATATAACTTTTCAACGGAAAAAACCTTTATATTTAAAAGTTTAATTTGAAAATTATTCGAGTCGTAAAATACAAATTTGATGGCTTAAAAATTTATTCTCGTATGTTCCTGTTATCCGCACAATTATGAAATCGATATTTTGTTATCGAGCATTTATTTCTTTTCTTATTTGTTATGGATGTTGCTCGTTTTTTTCGTGAAAACAAATGTAAAGTTGTTTGAAGTACGAATTCTATTATTAGGATCTACGAATGTTGGCCGATTCGAGAACAAAAAGGTTCTCCCCTATGCTACGCGTTCTTTGATATGCATCTAAAAAGTCGCTTCTCCTTAAATGTGTTATCGCGACCGAATAAAATACAGCCACAAATGAGTGGCAATGAGAAAAAGTCGAGAATGAAGGAACGACGATCACTCGAAATTTTCTATGAATCTGCACACCTTACAGTCGATCATTTTTACACATGAATGTTATTTTTGATAAAGCGTATCGGCAAGGTTAACAAGGTACTGATATCTGGTTTGACTACTGCAATTTCTATTTTTATAGGTTTATTCGACGTTCTATTAAACGTGTTACAAGTAACGGTTCATCAGTGATAAGAAACAGTCTTTTACGTCGAATGTTATGAAATAAAAAATACGTGTCCGCCAAAATAGTATACACTTATTAACCTTCATGGTCGGTGCTGGAGCGTGCGGCACGTTTTCTAAAAATTTTCGAAACTATCGCGTTGCAAAATGAAAATAGATAAACATTTTTATATCTTCTTTTAAACAATTAATGTCAATTCCATGATCATTGAATTTTAACGAATATACACATTATTTTAAAAAATATGGACATTAGATATTATTGTTTATGTTATTAGGATATTTTTTTATATATTGGAGAATATATTTTTTATATTTTGTTAAGCGATCCATTTGTTTCTGCCTGGTACATGTTAAATATATATACAAATATTTTATATGTTTCATTAAATTTTTTTTTACATTGAGCTGTTTCTTTAAAGGGCACTCTCTTCTATGTACTTATTAAATTAATTAAATTCTAGCATATAGTAATTATGTATGTAAATATTTGCAGTCGTTGGTAATAATTTTTAATCGCCTCTTTATTTCAGTGATTACTTTTGTTTTACTTTAGAATTATTTAAACAATAATTTATTTTGAAAGTAAATCTACATTCCTATAAGTACACATTCAAGGAAGAGACTCCAAATGAAGCTACAAGATTTTCCTAATCAAAAATGTTTCAAAACTTATCATAAATTTTAACTTAATCGATAATTTATGTAGTGTATCATAAAATTATTTTCTTGTAACTTCATCGTTTAATATATTTTCTTACAACTGTTGTAGATTCTCATAAACAATAAAAATGCCTCGAGTAAGGAGACAGGTGGTCTTGGAAGATCCTGCCAGGCCCGTTACACCAGACATGGTGGAAACCAAATTACGTATGTATCAACTGTAGAGCATTAGATAATTTTTCTCTAATTTGATCAATTGCTGGTACATTCATGAATTGTTTTCAGTGAAAACAGAATTCTTGGATGATGGCTCCCTGGATGAAGTACAAGCACAAAAGGTGGCCGAAGAGACACCGAGTCCTCATCTTCAAGATCATCAGTATGGACAAACACCTTGTTATCAAGTGACGAGGAAACCTACACAACCACCACCACGAACTGAAGTAAATAAGACTGTATTAAATAATTTTTAAGAAGGTTGTTGAAACATGGTAACTTTCTTTTGGTTTTTAAAGGCTGTTAAATAACATTAAGCAATACATTTACTGAAAATTTTAAGTAATATTTTCTCAATATTTCATGAGAATACATTCTAACAAAACATTATTAATACTGATAAATATTAGTTTATTTAAAGTGTAAATACTTTATTATTTTGTTGTCATATTTTGTGCTTGACTAATGTTTAATAATATGAATTTTTTTATGTTTTCATAGCAAATATCGGTTCAGGCGGTGAAACGAAGACTGAATTTGGAAATGGGAGCAACAGGTCCCAGCCAATCTGCCTTTAAGGCTCCTAGAGGTAAACGTAGGAGATCCGGTTCGAATTCTTTAACTGGCCACACACCTACAAAAAGTAAATTGTATTTCCGTTTTTAAACGTTCCACTTCTTATATATCTTCTAGGAGAAAGAAATGTTACCCTTAATTGCAGGTAAAACGGTAGAGAGAACGCGGTATGATACATCATTGAGCTTACTTACAAAAAAGTTCATACATTTAGTTGAAAGCAGTCAAGATGGTGTTGTAGATTTAAATGTAGCGTCTGAGAAGTTAGAAGTACAGAAACGTCGTATATACGATATTACAAATGTGTTGGAAGGTATAGGTATTTTGGAGAAGAAAAGTAAAAACAATATACAATGGAAGTACGTTGTTCATTATTTACCGAAAATTAAATCCTGAATATTTGTAATTAAACGTGGAACATAATGACTGTGTTTCATAGGGGCGGTCAGTTACCGAATGACAGGAACGATATCGCTGATCTCAGAAGAGAAGTGGCAGATTTAGAAGCTAAAGAAAATACTTTGGATCGGTTAATTCACGGTGCAGATAAAAACCTTAGGGAATTGTGTGCCGATAGACAATACGCTTATGTAACGTATCACGATTTACGTTCTGTCCCAATGTACAAAGATCAGGCTATAATGGCAGTAAAAGCCCCGCCAGAAGCCACTTTACATGTTCCACAACCTATCAATAATCTTGGCCAACAAAAGGTAACTACTACTTCCAAGGATGTGTGGATACCCGAGATTCGACTCCGTTTTAGGACACCTCGTATGAAAAAGTTATAAATTTTGTAATTTCTCAAGTTCCCAAATTTCTGAACTTTCATGTTCCCGGCCTGAATCTCTGCTACCCGACATATCGAGCTACCCGTGCACCCCTAACTACTTCCTATGCAGAAGTTACACGAATCAAAGTTGAAGTCGTATTCATTCTATTTATTGTGCGATCGTTTTGTTCGCAGCTTCAAATGCACATGAGGTCGTCTCACGGAGAAATAGAGGTGTTCCTCTGTCCTGATGACCCCGCAGTTAAAACGTCTCCCAATCCGGGATACACGACGACGCAACCTGTGCCTTCGTCAAAAGAATCCGAAATACCCGGTCTCCCTCCTGAACTGCTGGTCAATGGAGGAAGCGGGGTTCGGGTCGAACCAGTACCTTCTGTTGAGAGTACGTTGAATGCTCGTTTGAGTATACCGGTTATATCTGCGGTTACCAGTTTAGCAGGAATGAGGGACGCCCTGTTATGTGAATCTGATGACTATGGACCAATGGGTGGTGGCAAATTCCAACTTCAAACGGAGGATCAAATTAATACTCCAGGTAGGATTATGTACATGTTATGAATCAAGATTTATTCAAATATGTTGTTCTTCTTGTTGTTATTCTATTGAAATATCGAAACACCTTTGAAAGAGTAGAGTTTAGTAGATGAATTAATGCAGTATTAACTTGAAGGCTTTTATTAACCCAATAATATATTTATTTTTGTTTATGTTAAACATTGGTTTTCTTTGCATGTACGCTTTTGTGCACTGCTATATTTTATATGCTAATGTTTGCAACAAGGTGAATACAACTGTCCTCAATAAAATATAAACAGCAAAAATGAAATAAATCATAAATGACATAACTGAAAGTAAGCGTTTACACTAAGTAAACGTTTAAACATTACTGTTTGTTCTCACCTTTTTGTTTTATTTCTGCAGTTCTTTAACTGTACTGTTTATTTACAATGAAATAATGCTTCACCCATTCACTGCAAGAATATATTTTATTTTATTTTTTTTTTTTTTGTTAACATAAGTATTTATATATTTTTTTAATAAATGTCTTTTATATCATAATTCTTTGTGTTTGTACCTCTGAGACTTCTGGAAAAATGTTTTTATCACACAAACAAGTGAAAAATTTACAACATTACAACTTTTTATTTTAATTTCATAAAATGTATTGCGCATGATGCAACAGTTTTCATAGAAAGTACATAAGACTTTCTCCGAAAGTAATAGAGCAAGAATTAATTTTTGTTTCAATTTGAATTTGATTAATTCTCATTTCTTTCTCTACCTTTTCAACAATGGAGGATAGCCGTACCCTGATGGAGCTCTGGCTGTGACTTGTGTGTTAAAGAAATAAAAATCACATCACAGGCAGAGTTCTAATTAGGTAACGGTTTCAAACAACAAAGCTCGTGTAGCGTGAAGGTACGTTTCATGGATAAAACAATTATTTGCTTACGTGTGCCTGGTTCTTTTTTTACTTTTTAGCATTTGTTCGCTGTGCAGTAATTTGCTCTTAACTGCTTCCTCTTCTGTGACCTATGATGCATCACTTTTTAACTTTGTACCCGTTCTTTAAGTTAACATCCAATGGCTGTTTATCATATTCAATAGTTTATAAAGCATTTAATAATTCACAAAATAATGTACGCTTTAAATATTTATTAACTAATTTGAATTAAAGATTCACACAGAAATAATAAAATAACCTGCTTATAAATACTTGACATTAACCTGCAATTTGAAGCATTTTAAACACTACAAGTTAGAAAAGAAAATTAAATGGAATTTAAAGACAGAGGATGTTACATAAGAGTGGACAAAGAAAGCCCACTATCTTCTCTTTCTTTTGTTACAGATCTAAATTTTTTCGATTTTGGAGAACACTTGCTGTCCTTGGAACCACCTTTATCCGAAAACGACTATTCGTTCTCGTTAGGCACGGAGGAAGGGCTGTCGGATCTTTTTGATTTCAAATTTTAAAGATATCGTCCTGGTTGTCGTCATCGTGATAGCACTTTTGTCTTTTTGGACATACCACTCTGAGTTCGCCTCCCTAACATTCGAACGGATAGCGATCATTTTTGTTAATCCAATGATGACCGATCTGGCGTCACGATTATCCTGATTGGCAATTTTGTTTGTATATTTTTCGTTCTCGAAACGTACGTTTGAAACAATCGAATCCATGGAACGGTAATTGACAAGTTAGTCATATGATCTTGCTTCTTAGTTTTACAAAGAAAAATACGCGATCGTGTAAATACATGAGGTATAGATAGGATGCGTTTGCGACTCGCGATACCGTATAGTATTTTGTCGACACTCTTTTAAAAGTTGTATGTTTTAATCGCGATTCGTTCAGGATCGTATACAGTATCACGTCGGTCATTATCGAAATTCCACCTCACAGAAAGGATCTCAAAAATGTACGGAGCGAAGTAGAGGGACAAACATATCACGCCTTAAGTTCGTTGGCGTAACTATTTGGGGACCAGGGTGGGCCTGGCATCTCAATGACTGATCAAATTTCCTTATTATTAAATTCCTGGACTTTCTAACCTTACAATACTTCATCCCAAATAATTTACAAATTTTTGACACCATTGGTACCTGGCCCACCCCAGACAAAAATCCTAGTTACGCCAATGCTTGGGTTACTACTATATTGGCAATGAACGACGAACATTAAAACCATTGTTTTATAGCAGAGAATCCGTTGCAGAATAATTGTTTGACAAAAGTAGACAAGTTATTCGGTTATTATAGATTTGAAACAATGACACTTTAGAAAGAATAAGGAATAATTTTGTGGATGTCGGTCATTGTTAAATGTACTGGTAGCCTTAGGTTGACAGGTTGACTGCCAATGCTTTAATTTAAAGGAGATTCAAACTGCTACAACTAGTCATCATCCAAATGTTAGAAACATATTCGCTACTACGTCGCGTGACGTCCAAATTTCTGTAGTACGCTTAACTTGCAATTTTAGGTAATAAACAATAGTGAAAATTTTGATGGCTTACAGTAGCGAACGTGTTAATGGCAGTCAACTTGTTAGCAAGTGCTCGAGTATTTCCGGCTTGATACGGTTGCCACCGACATTGAGTTTCTGGAATACGCTGTAAAGCTGGCGTAGCGACGCCGTTCTGTGCAATCTGTAATAATATTGTTAATCGAGGTAAGCGCGGGAAAGGAGGATGATGTATCGGGAATTTCAAAGAGAGGAGAGACTGCAGACTCGTGACGAACAATTACAACGGTTTCCTTTATCCCCCTCTGCGTTCATTCTACTGTTAGCGGATAGAATTCATAAAAAAAAGAAATTCCCTCCCAGCGTATTTCTATTCGCGTAATTAAACTCCTGGACGGTTGTCTTCTCTAGTCGCTAGGACTGAATCTTTTTATCTCCTTTTATTTTCTCGAAATCGCGTGCTTACCACCTTACCGTCGCTAGCTGATAAAATAGATAAGCCACTTGTTTTATGATTTAATAAGCGAAAAGTAATATCAAGGTCATACCACGCGAAGTTCAAGGAAATTCTGATTTGTAATTTCAGTCGAGTAGCAATCTCAGTAAATGTAATATTATTTTGTATATATGCTCTAGTTTTTGAAATGTAACCTTGTGATTCCACAGTTTCAAAAGTTTTACAAATTCGTGCAAACTGATTGTATCTCACTCGTATCGAATGATATAACAAAGTGACACACATTTTGATTAAATATTCCAAGGCTTACAATCAATCAATTGGTGCTGATAGCTGTTAATTATTAAGCTCGCGATAAGTAAGGTGTTAAGACGAGAGACCGCCGTTCAGGATAAGTTTATCGATACGATAGTGTAGCTTATTGGGGGTTGTTTGTAAAAATCGCGTCAGAAAGGCATAGTTTTTATTCTATATACTTTTGTAATTGGTCGAATTTGTCCGACAGGGAGGTGCGGATTTTTGTATATTTCGATGCATGAAAATTAATTGAAATCGAGGTACATTCTCGACACGACTCGTAATGTGACACCGATACTATCGATGTAAATCATCATGATGGATTAGCTTGGAATACGATGCCACGAACACGGAGACGAACTCGAGCGAGAGAAACAGATCTTAGACTGCATGTTACTCGTATTTAACGACAGAGGGAAGTCTAAGATTCCTTTCAGGATCCACAGTACTTGTTCAGAAGATTTGTAAAAAAAAGGGGTTCTTCAAAGAGAACTTTGAAGCCAGTGCAACTTGAATTTTGACCGAAGAAGAAACGCTTGAGTCTTAACGTATATACATAACTCCTATATAAGACAAACTGAGAATATTTGTTCGATGTTCCTGAAGAGAATTCAAGGATGCACTGGAGAGAATCGTCTCAGCTGGAAGTCTCTTAAGGATGTACTCTAACGTACAACTTAGTGTACGTCCAAAGCCATAGTGCCTACACAATAATGATCACACCCTTCTGTAACTGTAAATAGTTTACATACTATACAAAATATATAAAACAAAGTATATATATACATATGTATAGTGTGTATATATATATACATGTGTGTATATAGAAAGTGTAAGGACGCGAGGACCCCCCGACACAGAAGAGAAAAACCAGATGCTGCAAGACACCTCATTATCACAAACTATCGATTAGTTACTTTTAATTATTATTAATAATTATTGATGCATTAGGAGATGTTAGATTATAAATTTGACTTATTATATATATGTATATATGTAATAAGTGCGTACGTTTTTTATAGTCAAACGAATATTGTGCAGAATAATGCGATGAGACTTAAAGGATTACTTAAGGAGCGTTTTCTTTTTTTAATGTTAACGGCGGACAAAATGTGTATAAAGAGAGAAATGTTTTTATCGCTACGTGTATTTATTTCAATTGAATGTAGTTTGCGAGAGTAACAAGAAAATTGTTATGAAACAGTGATAAACGATGAGCAATTTTTTAGTTACTTTACCTTTTTAGTAAGATTAGAGAATCAAAAGTTTTTCGAGATTTCTAAATTTGAAAATTTGGAATTTTTATATTTCTAAATTTCCAAATTACCAAATTGTCAAATTTGTAAATTTCTGAACATTAAATTTGAATTTACCATCGTGTCACTGTTTTCGAGGGTAAGTCGAGCGTTATTCCAATAATCTTCAAATATTCGAACGTCTGAAGATTATTTAAATAATACTCTGTACAATAAGAATGCGTTGCGTTGTGAATAAATTATTCTGCACGATATTCAGCGCGCAATTCACCGATCTGCAACAGAGAGAATTGTGTAGTTTTCGTTTTCATTCGATTTTTTTTTCAAATTGGTGGCATCACGCTTTTTTTTTCATACGCATCGTGCAACGAGAGGGGAAGCGAAGCGAGAGCGAACTACGTGTGAATGAACGTGTGAGTGTTGATTAAACGAATGATATTAATGATTCGAATGTACGGTGATCAGTGATCTCGATCCTGGCACAACCAGTGAGAATTTAACAATATTTTCTACCTGAATAATATTTGCGGGATCTTACGGAGTCTGAGCACGTGAAATTTCTCTTTATTCGCTATATTTCACTCTGTTCGAAGAGTGCGTCGGAAGAGTCCTACACGAATACCGTAATTTCCAACGTTCTCAGACTTCCTAGGATCTTTTTAGAATAACTTATCATGAAGATGGCAGTCCATCGTTTCGTTTTTAACCCGATATTCGTAAAATTACTACCGCGCGTTTCTGACAGTCTTTTGAATTTCGCGCCTCTTGTATTATGCACGGAAGAGTACGTTCGTTCGTTTTTTTTTCTTTTCTTTTAGAGTTTCGTTTAGCAGGACTTTTACGGCGTTGGAAATAAATTATTTCTGTCTGGCAACAACGATTTAAACGAAATTGCGTTTCGAATGTCTTGTCTGAAAACGTGTTTAAGAGACTGAACAGAACCGATGGTAGAAATGAAAATTCTGATCGATTGTCTTAGGGAAAACAAAAAATTGAACGATGTATGAATCGATATGACGAACGAGAATTTTGTCATATTTTAACGGGCATGTCCCGCCGAAAGACACAGTAAAAAAAGAGAGAGAGAAGACGAAGTTACAAAATATAACCTTGTGTAACGTCATAGGGAGATGTGATGTTTTTTAATTTTCCATAACCTTCGTGTTCGCTTATCTTGTGCAGAAAAGTATTTCGGTGATACCCTTTTACTTTGTTATAAAAGTAAGGATATATTATTCGCTCGGACACCTGGCTGTTCGAATATATTCGGCTCGATTTTAAATTTAAGTTCGTTCAGATCGTTTCGCGTGGAAAGTTACGTTTCACGTTCAATGGAAATTGTATGCTTTGCAAATGTCTATATCAAAATAGCGAATACCATAGTATACGCAGAAGAAATATTTTTTATGTATGTTTAATACGTATAACGGTACGATTGAGGAAATAAAACGTCGAAAACTTGACTCTGATCGTCACGAACGTATATGAAATTTGGTAGCGGATTAAACTTAAACGATTTATGGATTTTTGCATGAATAAAGTACTCTTGCAATATTTTATTAGATACTTTTAATATCTTATTTTAATAAAAACAGTTTTGAACAACGAGAGGAAGGTGCAAAAACATCGACCATAATGTTAATTCGAAAAGCGTTTATCTTTTTCGCGCGACGATGTGCGCATGCGCGTCATTTGTGTTTTCCCGCGATTATCTTCGCGCCGTTGACCGCCCGTCGCACGCGCTCGGGTACACATCTTTTATGTTATGTATATTTTGACGTTTTATATACACAACGGTATTATATACGAGAATAAAATTTTAAATATGGTGTATGTTATTGTCTACTTCCATGTTTTATATTTCACTTCACATGTTTTTGAATATCGCACGTATCAATGAGCGACTGCGCATGCGCGAGCAGCTACCGTACAGTACAACTCCCTCATATGATTAAAAACTTGAAATCTACGCGTGAAGATTAATAAACTATACTTTTATCTACAAGATTAGGTTCTACATATCTAAATTTAAAGTTCAAAGTTTCTAAATACGCAATTTCTGAATGTTTAAATTACTAACCTTTAAATTTAAAAACTTATACATTACGCAACTCTATGGTTACTCCATGATATTATAGATCGAAATAAAAATAATAACATCTATAACGATCATTGCACTTTGTAACCTTCGGTTCCAATTGAAAATATATAAAGGTTATGTTACCAATAGTTACGTTCACATCAAAGTGTCGTTGATATTTCAAATTCAAATTCAAATTCAAATTGAGTTGATCCTCGCGCAGGTTAGGTAATCGTACAGATGAAAAACCTCTAGTAAGAAAGTCAGGTTCCTATCTAGTAACTTGCATTGCGTATCAGCCTTTACGCAACCAACATATAAAATAAGTACAAAGACGCCACTTTCAAAGTGTACTTTAAATTGATCGCTGGCAATCAATTGTTTTATATTGGCGCGAATTATCAAGCGATTTATCAAATTTGTCCGATTTTTTAAACTGACGTTTTTAAGAAAAACAGCCAAAATAAGCAATCCAAAGGATACGAGTATGCCACCCAAGTGTAAATTTCAAGAAGGTAGACACTTAATTTTTAATACAACTCTATCGAAAGTTCCAGTGTATATTAAATGAATTTTTATAACTGAATATTGAGTGCTTTTCACGTTTTTGATGTATTAGCAATGTTATTTACTATTATTATATGATAATTTGCAGGGGAGAAGGTCCTCTGTTTTCATGGGCCATTAATTTATGAAGCAAAATGTCTAAAGTCCTCCATTACTAAGGAAAAACAGATCAAATATTTCATTCATTATGCTGGTTGGAATAAAAAGTACGTATTTAATTCTGTCTTATATGTTTGAACACGAATAAAATTGTGGGAATGATTGAAATAGTTGGGACGAGTGGGTTCCGGAAAGTAGAGTTCTTAAATACAATGAAGCAAATGTGCAAAGACAAAGAGAGGTTCAAAGAGCACATTCTAATCAGCAATCTGCGCAAAAGGCCAAAAAGGGCAGCACCTCCTCTAAAACTCAAGGACGTAGAAGTGAAGGTGTACGTGAAAAAGACACAGATAGTAGAGCAAGCACTCCTGTTGCGACAGTTGATAAAGGTGTTAGTCGGTTTAGCAAAGGTACAAGTAGTAGCGTAACTCCATCATCATCTCATGATACTTCGTTAGAAGCTCCGCGTAAGAAGCGCAGGTTTGTTTCAAACAGGATTTTTTTGTTGTACGTTAGTTGAGCAGCATAGGATAATTAAATTTTGTTGTAGCCGTTTAGAGCCATCGGGTGAAACAGAAGAATATCTCACCAAAGTAGAGGTTAAAATTAAAATCCCAGAGGAATTAAAATTTGTACTTATAGATGAATCAGAAGTTATACTGAAACATCATAAATTACCTGCTTTACCTGTAAAGAATACGGTTGACAAAATTTTAGATGATTATGTTGAATCAAAATCGTTAGGAAAAAATGACTCTGTCAGGTACTTATATTTATAATTTTTGTGTGAGAATATGTATCATTATAATTTATAATTTTAAAAATTATTTACTTGCTTTTATTGACAGTTGTGACATAATTATTTTCAGAGAAAGTACACTAGAAATAACTAAAGGAATTCGTGAATATTTTAATATATCCCTAGGCTTGCAATTATTATATAAATGGGAGCGGCCACAATTCATACAGATTATGAATGATAATCCTGAAACACTGCCTAGCCAATTATATGGTGCATTTCACTTATTAAGGCTATTTGGTGAGAGCACTTATTTTTTGTGTATCTTTTAATTACAATATTCTTGTATAATTATTAACATGCAATTAAAATATTTTTATAGTAAGACTTGGTGGAATGTTGTCATACACCACACTGGACGAAAGAAGTATACAGTTGCTGCTATCACATTTTCACGATTTCTTGCAGTATTTGCAAAAAAATAATACCGAATTATTCAATTTGCAGCAAGACTATGCGGATTCACCACCCGATTATCATAGGAAATATGCCTAATTTAGTATAAATAAATTTATATATTTAATTACACGAAGCAATACTGTAACTTCTGATTACTTTATACGGCAGCTGCAATATTTGTTCGAAAAATATCTATACTAAATACTGTTGTAATTACTTTCTATACAAAATAGGTTATTGTAAAAAGGAACAAATTTTACATATTGTTAAATATTGCCCAAAACAATTCTAAAATGTGAACTTGATTTTCAGTTGACGAAATGTACAGAAAAGATATAATACGTTTAATGATACATGTTTTAATTTAAATTAAGATAATTAAGATGATATTTATTGTAAACATATATGTATTACAACTTTATTATATCTAATTACAATTTTATACATATTTCAGAGTATTTAATTTATACATTTTTTGAGTAGTACACCCAACTACCAAATTTGCATTCCCTAGGGAAAATGGCAGCTCAGAAAAATTTTTACAAGTCCAATGTTATTCTCTGTATTACCGACGAGACACAGTATAGTGTGTGAATTGTTCTGAACACATAATCCACATTTTTGGACCAATAGAATATATTGGAAAGAAAATAAAATTAGTATTAAAAATATACAGCATATTAATTAATAAAATTAATAACTAGGTCTGTTTGATTGAGGCGCTCCGCGCCTAACCTACCAATTTTGAGCGAGCGAGTAAATTTCACGGTAAAGCAAAAATAGTCAACCGTGTCATCCGGTTGAATTGGTTGAGTGGTGCAAGAGAAAAACGTGGACAAAAAACTTGAAAAGTCAAGTACATAAGCGCGAGCAAATTCAATTTTGCATTAAAGTCTACGGGGATATGGTTTTTCGGTGATTATTCCTCTGTTGCATGTGCGGGCGGCGCGCAGGGGGAATATACACGATAATGGGTATGCAAAATTGTTAATTACTCACTTTCTGAGCACAGTCCACGAACTTTTATAATTAAAGAATGGTCAGCAATGCATTATTTACAAAGCAATGCATTATTTACATTGTTCGATCATAAAAGTTCATAAATAATGTTCAGGTAATGAGTAATTAATTATTTTATGTCAGCATTCCGATACGTACTTGAGTCGCCTATGTCAATTCTACTACGTATGTAGAATGCAATATTTTGGCACTTTGGCGACGTAGTATGGTTCCTGAGGCATTTAGAAACAAATTTCTATGAGGGTTTGATGCGTTTTGATGCCTAATAAAG